ATGTAAAAAGTTTTCATTAAGTTTAATAAAGATAAGAGCATGGTCTCACCTTTAACATTAAAAAAAAAAAAAAATAAAATAAAAATGAAATTGATAAGTTAAATTCACTTTTTCACTTTAATGTAAACAGAAGAATAATATATTTAAAAACAGGTTTAGCATTCACATTTGATAATACTCACACTTATGATATCAAATTAAAAAATATGAACTTCAAGAAAGATAAACAAATTTCACAACTTTGGGAAGTTGAATTTATAAAAGATAATTATAGATTAAGATCTTTAGTCAGTAATCAAGAACAAAAAATGTTTTGTATTGGAAAAAATTTAAAAATATGGGAATTTGCAAATTATTTTTAGAATTTAGAAAAAGTTAATTTTGTTAATGAATAATTTTATTAATTATGAAATAAAATATATAAATTAAATCTAAATATTATGCAATTTTTCAGTTTATAATACATCATTATCTGCTCTTGGAATTCCATCACTATCCTTATTTGTCCAGGAATCTTTTTGTTTATCTATTTCTTTTAACTCCTCGTCCGCTTTAATATAATTAATTTCCTTAACTTTCTTATTTGCATTTTTGGTATAATGTTTCAAAGATTTCTTGTAATTCTTCCTTCAATTTTTTTTTTATATAATCCAACCAGTTATAAATCCTTAAATTTCAAATATGAGTAATTCTAAAACCATTATGTCATGATATAATTTAATGTGTAGTGCTCAACATTCTTTAATATATTCTTGCATTTTCTGTTTTTTTGATAGCACCAAAAATAGCATCCATCATTAATTTGATCCCAATATCTATAACACCACTAATAACTGTACCCAATATCAATCCACCAATTTGAGAAGCCCATTTTAATACAAATTTAAAACTAGTAAAAGGAATTTTAATATTCTTCCATTTCGATATCACAAATTTATAGACATGAGTAGTTACTTTATAAAATAATCCAATTTCAACTATAGATTTTAAAACAAGAGGAATTGTCATATTAAATTCTTCATAAACTGGTATTTTAATTATTTCTTTCAACTCAGGATAATTTAAGTCTTCTCTAATTTTTTTTACCATTTGATGTAATATTGTAAGAAGAGAATTTAGTTTTTCTGCTTTTCCAGAAAGTAAAACTACATATGAACTAAGATCATTTGATAATTTATATATTCTTCTCTCCTTGTTATCATTATCAGGATAAATCATATTGTTCCACATTCCTATACATTGAACTATTTGAACATTCTCTGGAATTATTTGATTTTTTTTTTCTTTTAAATCAGAAGTAAATCTCTCAGAATAAGTGGATAATTCCATAGAGAGATGAATTTTTATTTGTGATATCTATGGCATTTTAGTCTTTTTTTTCTATAACCAATTTTTGATATCTCTAAACAAATCAAATGATTTTTCTGAAATTGTCAACTTCTGAGTTTCTAAAACCTCCTTTAGATCTTTTGAAATTATAATTTTCTCATTTTCTTCTGATAACTTTTCATTATCTCTATATATTTCTTGTGTTTCAGATTCATCTTCAATTTTCTTATTATTATCTTCCATATTTAACGAGATAATTAAGACAAGTAACTTATTTATATAAATTTTAAAATAATATAAATAGGCTTTAATATATACTTTCATTTCATTAAAATATGAAAGAAGATAATAAGAAAATTGAAAAAGAATCTGAAACACAAGAAATATATAGGGATAATGAAATGTTATTAGAAAAAAATAAGAAAATTATAATTTCAAAAGATCTAAAGAGTTTAAAAGATAATCCCGATCTCGAAACAAAGATGAGTGTATTTGATGATGTTCTCTACACTGATAATAAAAATAGATTGAAAAGAGCAAATGAATTACAAAATGATATTAAAACATATATGGTTGAACTTGCTAAAAAAAAGGACAAATTAGATTCTATTCTTAAAAATCTGAAAGAAAAATTAGATCATATATCAGAACAACTTGATATTTCTAAAATTCCATATATCAAAAAAGAAGTTTATGAAGATTCTACTTTATTGCTTTCTACAAAAATAGAATTTATTTCAGATTTTATAATATTTTAAAGAGCTTATTATCACATCTTTAGATTTTGGAAATTGAAAATACAACCTTCAATTACTATTCCTAATCCAGATATTCCTTCTTGAAATTTTACTATTCCAGCACACCGGGTACCTCCACGCTATCCAGTTCCTGATTCAGAAATACCTCCTTTGCAAAAATTATAGTTTAAATTTAAATGGAATGGTAGAGTTTTTTCTGGTGTAGTAAGTGGTCTTATCAGTATAGTTGTTGCTGTTGGTATTGATTTAATATTCAGTTCATATACCAGTGCTAAAAGAAAAAAGGAAATGCAAAATTATATCAAAGAATGTCAGAAACTTCGCATCGAATTATATCATGATATAATGGTTTTAGAAATAGTAATAGATGAAATTAAAGGATTCGTAACTGAAATAGATATAATAACAGAATATAAACTATCAATTTCTAAAGATGAATTATAAGAAATATTTAAAAATTTTCAAAATAAATGTAATGAGAAAATTAAGAAATCGATTACAGCAAAGCAAAAAAAACATTAAAAGAAATAGATATACAAAGAGGTTCTTGGACAAATGAAGGATAAATAAATATTTATTCTTTATTTATGATTATTTTTTTTAATATATTCTCTTATATTTACAAGATTTTGATATTTGTTATTTTCTATATATATGATATTTAAAGAATTGCAAATATATTTGATAATTTCTTGTTGTTTTGTAATATTTATATTAATATTTGATAATAAAGCATAATATATCTTTAATAAATTATTATCTGAATTTATACTTAATATCATGCAGATTTCTGTTATCAACATATCAATCTTTTTTTGCTCCTTGATTGATTTCTTAAACAAATCGAATTCTTGTTTTAGTGATTTTACCTCTTTTTCATGTAAATTTTTAATTAAATTAACCTCTTCTTTCAATAATTTCAATTCTTGTTTAACAAGTTCAGCAAGATCATGTATCGAACCTTCTTTATAAACGCATAATACGTATTCATAATAATTTTGCATTTCATTTATGTAATCTAAATTAGAATATAAGATCTTGTTTATATTTTGAAGAACATCTAAAATAATCTCTTTGTTTTGCATTGCTTCATCATAAGCTACTGTTAATAATACCTTTGCACCACCTTTTTTCCAAACTACATCATTGGAAGATATTTCATTACTTCTATAAAAATAAGCTATAGACATCAATTGATATTATATAGGATTTTTAATATATCTACTATGAGAAATTTTACAAACTCGATATAGAAAATACATTTCATTTAATTTTGTTATAGGTAGAGCTTTGTATTCGTATTCGTTATTCGAATAATATTCGTATTCAGCGAATATTCGAATAAATATTTATCTGATGAATAATTCGAATAACATATTTTATTCGAATAAGCAAATTTTATTCGA